AAGTTTGGGAATGCAAGCCGTAGGTTGCAGAAGAACTGTGACCAAGCCTCCGCTTGACACACGAACTTTGGCTCAAGTGTGACTAAAAGGGTGAGGCGTGTGCTCGCTGTCTGCTGTGTTACTTTTCACAGGACGAGCAAAGAGCATACGCATCTGCCTGTTAAATTGTGTGTGTGGTTAGGATGACGATGAACTGAGCTCGCCTGTAGCCCGGAATTGCGCTGACAAAAGCGCTGGGTGAGAGAAGCAAGATCGTCATTGTTCCGCTCAGGTTTGCAACAAATCACGGATGCTGAAAGGAGGGGCACCGCGGATTCCTCAACTTTTGATTTCGATGCGATGGATGACTAGAGTTGAAGAGAAAGATCCATGCGATAATCGCTATCCAATCGCCATTTTGGCGTGTTATGGATGCATTTCTTGCGTTCTAAGATCTTCCCTAACGCACGCTGAGAGGGCATGACAAAGTCTCACTATTGCGCCCGAGGCTTCCTTGGCGCTTCAGTGAAAAATGCGCTACCTCGTACACTTTGAAGTTGTGTCATGCAAAAGTTCGAGCTTCTGTAGGTTCGTTTCACGCACCGTGGCAAGTCAACGTGGAGTGTCAAAGTTCAGGGCGTTCACCCTGACCCACTCCTTTTGCAATGTATCGCAATTGATTACTTCAATGTAATTTGGCTCACGTTCCCCTTTTTGGCTAAACTGTTAGTAGGCAATTTTCCAGCAAAGCCATGTGGAGATCTGAGCTTGACGACCGCACGTGCGGAAAACATTGGTGTGCGCTGGAAGGGTTGCGCGCCGTGAAAAACACATACATTTTGTCACCCAATCATCCTTTCACAGACAAGTAGGCACTCGACCTGAGGGTTCAACAGTGTACGAATTTCACCTTCAAACGAGTTGTACATGTGTGCAATTTAACGCTGAAAGTTTCTGGTCGCCACTAGCACTAGCGTTCGGCTCACGGCCCCTTTAGCTCCCAAATCGTATGTTAGTGGCTACGTACCACTGATACAAGCTGAGCCGGAGACCGTATCGTGGAAAACAACAAGTGGCGTGATTGCTCAGTGCAAGCTGATTGCATTGTCGGTTGTGTTTGCACGCTGTAGCGCAGTCACCCTTGTTGAAAGCTAGAGATCTCGAATACTGCCAGCCGTCACAAGCCCTTTGAACAGTTACGCGCAGCAACCCAAACAAAACCGAATGCTTTCGTCTGCAATTTGTCATGCCCGTCCTGGTAGGTTTGACAGGAGCAATGCAACCATTCAGAACATAGGTATCAAAAGGCTTCGAGATCTTGACCCAAGCTTTAAATGACGTAGAACGATTAAGCGGCGTGGTCTTCCAAGTGGCGTGTATGGTTTTTGGCCAATTCTGCTAAAACTTGCGTGCAGCCATCAAACAAAAAATCATTAACGTCCTGCATACGAGCTTGTTTAAGATCCAGCTTGAGAATTGCAGGAATCCGTTCCGTGGAGCGTAACCTAGTCAACGCTTATTTCTGGAAGTGGTAGCTGGATTACCATGGAAGAAGCAGAGTTTTTTTAAAACACTACCAGCAAGCCAACAGCCAAACAAAAAACCGCTAATTTGCCAAGACATGCTGTTAAAGCTATGAAAATGAGCAATGTCATCATGAATAAAATGTATGATTGCAGAAATTTTTCTTCCACCGGACCGTTTCAGGTGTCAAATCAAACCGCCAGCCGATTCCAGTTGTCAGCGGGCAGACAATGGCATATTACCAATTGCTATACAAGATGCATCCAGAGCCAGATGATCAGGCTTTTTGCTCCGTCACATGACAAATCCGTCCGCTTTGGGCTCATAAGCATCATCGTTGCCCTTTGTTACGCTGGCTCAAGACGTGTAGGGACATCAGCAACAAATGTCGAAAAGTCAGACGGAGTTGTGCTGCTCGCAGCCGATGTTGATGAGCTATCGATGCATAAGCCCCTTGTGTGTGTAATACAGACAACAAAGCGAAAAACTCAATTAGCAATCACCTTGTTACCACTACAGTGCTACACGGATTTTTATCCTGATGAGGCAACGTTTGTTTCAAACAGCTTTCACAGTTTGGGTTTGGGTAGTTCAATTCCTGATTTGATTAACTGCAATGGGGTCGTGAAGGCTGGCCGAACATGCGCGATGCCGTTGGGTCCTGAGTATTGGAATGGCTAAGCATTCCTAGCCACGTGGCATACTGTGAGCCAGCGCGTGCATTTTAGCGGATATTTATGATTTTCACGTTGTTTGGCTTGTGCTTTCTCGACGTTATCGCCTGCTAGAGCCTGGCAATTTTCAAGAACAATCCGGGAACACGCAGCCGCATTTGCAAGATAAGGATGCATGGCTTCTTCGTCACTTGTTGCTTTCTCAGATGGACATTTCCGCCTTATTGCACTGTCCAATGGGCGCTCATGATCGTGACTTGCTTCGCTTGAAACCAAGGTGGCCAGAGATTGCTCCACTGACATTGGGCGCCGGAGCATTGGCCATTGCAAGTTCTTTGCTTCAGACATTGGGTCTTGTTTGATTGTTTTTGAACTGCAATCAAATCTTGGCAACCTTCTGTGAGTAAGTTTACGGTGAGAGTTGACAACGACTCACGGGGGGATTGCCTTCCCGCTGCAAACATGTTTTTTCGCTTCACTTGCCGCAATTCAGCTGCAGATCTTGGGCGGAATCAGAGCCTTTGTTTGGTGAGTGTGCCCTCCAACGTTGGAAGGCCATCATTTGCAAAGAAGATCATCTTGCTTGACACTTCGACAATTAGTTTTGTTACTGACGTTGACATTTTGGATTGCAATTTTCGCGCGAGCAACCACAAACGGGACGGGACGAAATTGGCTATTGCTTCGCGCATTTGCATAGTTCCATTCTGCGTGACGTGATGAAAATACCGTGCCATGCATGAACATAAGGCTTGTGTGTGTGTGTGTGTAACGCTAGTTTGGGTGGAGTCTCACCAAACCGGGGTTCATGTGAGCTGCAATTTCGTCCCCAGTGTTCTCTGACAAAAGGCTTCGTGAACTTTCGGACTGGCGCCCAGCTGAAGAATGCCATTGAGGTTGTGTCTGATGGCGCAGAAGGCCATGCCAAGAAGCCTCCGAGAGAGCGAAAAGAGACCTTGGAGTTTGCACGACGCAGAAGAACGCAGAAGGCCGCCGGGCGGCGATGCACAGCCTGTTGCTCTTTGGCTTGGGCGCAGCGGCAGGCCCATCTGCAAATTGCAGTGATCATGCACATTCTGTGAAAATTTTATACACGCACAAATTTACTTTTTGCTTGCTCTTGTATGTGGGCCGAAGGCTGTGTGCGAACAGCCACCTTCGACAGTGTGTCCGAGCGCCTTCGTGCCTCCATGGCCGCGGAGGCGCTGTTTGGGCGACACAAGCCTTTCTTTTGATTCTGAGCCTCAGGTCTTCGCAGCAAAGCTTTTGGAGGAGCCGGCTGATGCCAAGGACCGTGGCCAGATTTGAGTTGCTTTGGGCAAAAAGTTGAACAAATTGTCTGAAGGGCGAGAACACATCGGTCGCCTCAATGGACAACGACGTGGCGCTCTGCCGAAATCCTAGAATATGTTTGGAAGGGGGTTACAAAGTAAGGGACTTGCTGGGCTGCCAGCAACAAGGTGCAGATTTCATCTTGAAGCTGCAGAACCTTGCTGCCGCCTTAGAGCTTAGTTGCATGCTTTGTGAGAGAGAGAGAGAGAGCGAGCCAGGTCCGCTACACGTGCCTCGGCTTGGAAGCAGATTCACGGTCACCTCATGGACAAGGATGGAGTCTGAAGGTCTTCAATCATTGGCGGAACGTTTACGATGTTCCGTGCTTCCTGGAAGTTGAGTGCAGTAGCAGTGTTCTCAGCCGGTTCAGAGTGAGATAGCAGTGAGAACTGCTTAAAGCACGCTTTGTGAGTTGGTCCCTCTTAGGTATGGCCACTGCTTGTCACCGGGGCGCTGCATGGTGCGAGGGTGCGGGGCGCATTGTTTTTTCAGCATGTAAGATGCAGCTGGGTTTTGTGCAAGATCAAGGTTGGGGGTTGGGGGCCTTTGGCAAAGCGTCCTTGTGCTTGTGAAGAGGCGGGAGCCAAGCGTTCGGTGAAGTCTGCACAAAGCCTTGCAGGAGCCTTGGTATGTACCTCAATTCATGAATCCGTACTGCCTCAGTTGCCTTTCTGCCTCGGGAGGCAGCAGCGAGGGAGGAGGCGTTCCTCTTCGCAGAGGCACTGCTCCTGTGCCTGACGCACCCAGGCTTGGTGAGATGTGCTTTGCTGCAGCAGGAGCGCCTGCAGCATGTCGACATCATACGCTGGTTTTGTCGAGCCAGCGCCCCAGCTGACGCAAATGCCGAGCCTGGTGATGACAGCGCAGCCAGCGCAGCGAGGCGGAGGCAGAAGCCGAAGTGCCGGGAGCTTGGCTGCTGGAGGGCTCCCGATTCTTGCCTGGCAGAGTTTTCCGAGGTTCCGTGGCAAGTGCCAGGCCTCAGTGGCCATCGCTTCGCGGTCGGCTCGGGTAAGAGGGGCCTCGCACCTTGCCGCTCGGCTTCCGCTGGATCTCACTTACCGCTCGGCAAAAGTCCTCGCCACGCGGATGGCAGCACTGTGTGAATCCTTTTCAGGTGCTGGACTGGGCGGCCAAGTCGGTCTTGCTCGGGTTGGGCACCTAGAAACCAGCTGACACGAAGAGTAGGGAATGCAGCATTTGGTTTCTTTCAGGCTGGCCTCCTTGGGATCACAGCTGGTGGCTCGTGCTGCCCTCAGGGTTCCGAGAAGTTCGCAGTGCAGGATTTCGGTGCTGCTGAGGTGGTGAGCTCACAGCTGCAGAGCTGACTTCCTACTTCTTTCACGCCTCCTTCTTAGGTGCGCTCCATATTTGAAATCCCAATCCCTAAAAACTCCTGCTCGTGTTCAGCGAGGCCTTGGCCTGTACGGCCTCGTTGGTCTTATGCCCGAGGTCGAACCCTCGAAGTGATGTAAATCGAAAGCAGTTTTAAGCATGTTTGACTTGCAGGTGAAGTTTGCTTCTCATCCATGTTTTTTTTTTGCGGGCACAGGTTGCTGTGGCTCGGACGTCAGCTGCGCGGTTGGCAGCCATCGTGGCCAAGAAGCCGTTGAAGGAGGCCAGAGCGGTTCTTTTCCAAATTCTCGAGAATCTCTTAGCGATAAAGGCGTCAGCGAACACGGCCTTCACTGGGAAGTCAATGTCCCTTTCCTTTGAGGATGTTCACTTCAGGTGCTTCACTGGTAAAGGGCCTGCTGACTTCGCTGAGTCCCTCTTTCTCCAGGTTTTCGGAGGCTGATGTCTTGTGTGGCTTTTCCTTGCAGCTGGCAGCCGGAGAGTGCGATCCTCAGTTTTGTCGTAGGAGATCGGCTCTAATGCAGTGACACTCGTGCTGCTGGCAGGACATGTGCCCTTGTTGGCCTTTCAGGGTGTGGCAAGCGAGTTTCTCAGCGCAGTTCAAAGTCGGTGTGGAGCCAAAGAGAGGACAAGCGTGTGGGCTGAGGACATCAGCAATCCGATTACTTCTTCGGGACTTCGATGCTGCTTCCGGCAGCATTTGCCTAGGCGCCAGAGTGGCGTGAAATGATCTTAGACTTGCCACTGCCTGTCATATTTTGGGGCTGGTGCTGGATTTTTTCAAGGCTTGAAGGGAAACTGCTTCAGATGTTGCAAGGTTTCTGTGTGCAGGCGAGCGCCCAATCCAGACGTTGACGCTGAGGGAGCTCCGCACAATGATCTCTGCCTAGCTGGCATGAACTGGGTGTGAGTCCGGCAGTAGCTGTTTTGGTGTGCGGCTGGCAGACCTTCATGTAAACAGACGTGGCAATCATGACAGGTGGCTCCGCAGATACCCGCGCTGCTGGGCGCCTTGGAAGAATCAATTTGGCAGCTTCTTATCGTTCTCTGAATGAGATTTGTGACAGCTTCAGGTGCCAACATGGCAGATGCGATCGCGCACCAGCCGCAGGTGATACAGTTACCTTTCACTAGGCTTGAACGCGCATTTTGTTTGAGAGCACTGAGGTTTGGGGCCAGGCATCGGCCCAGCGCAGAGCAGATTGAGGCGGGGCCGTCCCTCTGAGACTCATGTCTTACGTGGATATCACACATGTTCATGTCAGAGCCATGTCGCAGAGATGGCGTAGAGACATGTTCTTTCAGGGGGCCGCAAAAGCTGCATGCGCCCATGGCTTCATAAAGTCCAGGACGGGGCTCTACAGGTTGTTGTAGCTGCACAGTGGAGAGAGAGGAGTGGCTTACGAGGCCCGAAGGTTATGACGCGGCGGTGGGAAGAGGTGGAGACCTGCTGCCGGGCACCCGGCCCATTCGGAAATTGCTCGTCGATAACTGCTGCGGCCATGAGGTCGGGGGGTGAACGGCAGCGCATGGCATTGGCCAGTGCCGCTCACAGCTTCCAGAGGGTGCAAAGCAGTGAAGCTTTCTTCGTTTGCTCCTTGTTTTGTTTGCCAGGGGCACTCATCCGGGAGTCTCCTATCCTGCTGCTGGACGAGCCTACGTCGCTTCCCCAGATGTCCATGCCATGCATTCTTCAGAAATTCCGGTCCACCTCACAAGGAGATGCTTCAACAAGCCATCGGGACTTGTCCAGTCACATGAGCCTTCGCATCCCTTGTTTGTCTCAAACCTCATAGGGGTACCTGTATGCACTGGTCATAGAGTTCCTTGTCTCAATTTGCATGGTCATTGTCTACCCTTGCTAGTTGGCCATGAAGTCAGATGTTATGCTGAGAGCTGTGTTGACATCTGCGGTCCTTTAAGGGCTCATCTGCCAGCAATCTCCACCTGCTGTTGTGGGGCATACAGTCATTGAACTTCATGTATCCCGTCGAACTGCTTCTAGCATTTGCCCTAGTTACTATGTTGAAGCTTAGATTCTGAGATGATTGTTGCAGGTCCGGATTGGATGCAACCACAGCATCAGCGCTGGCGCAGGAGCGTAGAACTCGTAGAATGCGTAGAGGAAGACGCCGTGAAGTGATGTGAATCCGTGAATCCGTGAAGTGGTTGAGAAGCTGGCCCAGGCGGTGCTCTCTCCGCGACCCAACCGGCCGACAACTCTTGTGGCGACCCACAGCCTCGCCTTGATCAGGAGGGTCCCAAAGGAAGCAAGGAAAGGGGAAACCATGGAACCCACTAGAAGTTGACTATAATGGAGACTCGAATGAAATGGAAACTAGGGTTCTACAGGTATTATATGAGTAGTCACCTGATAAACCAGGAGCTGTGACACTGTGGCAGTGGTTGCTAACGGACGCGTTGTTCAACGAGGCTTTCTTTACCAAAGTCCAAAGCTGTCATCACGAGCCTGTGATTTTGCGGAGGCCAGTTTTCCCAGCTCATTGCTGACCCGGCCGGACACCTTGCACAGATCATGAGGCAAGGAGACCACCAACTTCACCAACCCCAAGCCGCGTTTATCAACGCTGTTCGGCTGGCATGGCAGGTCTGGGGAGCTTGAGGAGGCTTGAGGAGGCTTGAGGAAGCTTAGGGCGTGAGCTGCGAGCTCATGCTCAGAATGAGATGGAGTCACGTCTACCTTGCTCAAAGTAGCAGGTTCTTATTCTTGGGGTCCTTCACTGGAGCCCAGGTGGTCAAATTCTTGGCTCACCTGACCTACTCAAGTAGAGTAAGGCTGAGCTCTGCAAAAGAATGCAGGATTTTCAAAGCAAGGAGAGTTGACAGGCATTGAGATCAGGCTGTGCTGCACTGCTGCCTCCACGGCTGACAGCTGCCAGATGCTTATGTTTTTTGAGTATGATTACCATGTTGCAAGTTTACATAGATTCTGAGCCCAACCCTTCCTTGAAGAATGAGTATGACGCCGGACATGATATTAGCCAGTCTAGGCCTGGATGTCGTATGGCAAGCCATGGACTTCGCTCCTGTGCTCAAGTTGCCTCCGCCTGCTCCGCGGCCGCCGTTGCGGTGCTTGCTTTTTCTGTTTACTGGCACTTTGGTGCTGTGCTTTCATGCTCAGCGATTCCCTCCTTAGCTTCCACAGGGGTGGCATTTGGAGAGCATATTTCGTGGCTACACCTGAGATGTGGGACTCAATTCACCGGCACGGCGCAAGTACTCCAGGAGGCATTTGGCATTATAACCAATCGCGCCTGGAGGCGTCCTATGCCTTCAGATTTCTATCGCAGAAGAAGTATAGTTCCTTGTTGGACGTGTCTTGCAATGTTGGCATCACGCTTGCCAGCCTGCAAAGGTACCATGGAGCGGCCAGGCACTATGGCACTGACATAAGCAAAGTTATGGTGGAGACCACGCAGAAAAACTGTCCGAATTGCCAGGCTGCGCAGTTTGACCTTGGCAGGCTCCAATTTGCAGGTAGCCTCAAAGAGATGCGAACCAGCCTGCCCAGCACCTGGCCAACGTCGTTTGATGTGATTCTGGTGTCGGATGTGCTGATCTATATCAGCTGGGCACACATCGCTCCTATCTTCTTAAGGTGTGAATGCTGCTGCTCTGTATTCCGCAGTTGGGCCCTGTCTGCTCAGCAGACCTTTCTCCAGAACATTGCAAGTCTGGCGAAGGACGAGGTCATCTTCTCACTTCACCAGAACAACATCGTGGTGACTACTATGATGCGAGAGCTCGGTGTGCGCCTTGATGAGGACCGAGGTCTTTGGAGGCTTCCAGGCACGGCCAGGAACTCGAACTCCACACTCTAGCTGTCTAGCTGCTAACCTCCAAGCTTGCGCGTGGACTGCGGACCCCCGAGTACAGCCTCTCCCAGTATGCCAAGATTCCTCCCAAGCTCTTGACAGTGCTGGCCGGCGCCTGGGAGCATTTGCGAACGACTTGAAAGTGCTCGAACACATCCGAACGCAATAGAAAGGTTTTGCGCACAAACAGAACACGCTCCGTAGCCATGGCCTAGGTTCCAGTTAGTAATACGCTGCATTGTGCTGCTCTTGCTACTACTTGTAGTTAACCCTCCAACGAATCCAACGCATGCTCTTGCTACTGAAGCTGTAGAGGTTGATTCATGGAGGATCTCCTGTTCTGGAAACGCTTTTTTCATTTCTGCCTCTGGTCTCTAGTTAGCGGGCCTTTTGGAAGTTCTCAATTAGCTATGAGCCGGGTGCTCAGGGCTTTGTGATGAGATTGGAACATGGGTTTCCCAACTTGTCCGGGACGCTATTGCGTTGTCTCTCATGCAACCTTGCTCAAGCTCTACTGCAGCGGTTCAAGTTACAGCCTTAGATTCAAACCCCTTTTTCGCTATGAAGACTTGAAAGTGTCCTTGGGACCTTCCAAAGAAGACAGTGCGTGATGTGGACGCATGCAGCGGCCGAGTGAAGGGGTCGCGACCCAGATCTCAAAAAAAGATCGTGGGTACACAATCTTTCGTTTTCCAGCGACGTGCATGGGACCGGATGGCCGGGACATGTCAACGTTGCTGAAGAAGGAGTCCTAAAGGAAAGGATTTCAGTTTGTATCCTTGCGCGCCAGGCTCAGAGCGGTAGCCGATCCCTTTGTGGTCTTTTGCGTCGCTCATGCCTAGTTCTTGATTCTTCACCTTTCACATGCCCTCTAGAAGTTTTAGCAGCCTTTGCTTTCCAACTTCTCATGATTCTTGGATATTACGTTAGTTTCCTCTTGCGCGATCATGGCAGCTGATGCCACCAAACCCGAGCCACCTCCGACTGCAACACCAACTGCGCCCACTGATTCTGCCGCCTCCGCTGAAGATCCACCAGGGCTCCTGGCAGCAAAAGCAGAGCCCTCACAGCAACAGATTCGCAAATCAGATGCTCCCGCAGTTGTAGACACCACCCTATTGGGTCCAGACTCCATGGTAGAAAGATTTTCGGATGGAAGTATTTACGTTACAACTGCAGGTACGAAAGAAAAGATTTGTGAGATGCTGTACCAAACCTTCCGCAAGCAAAATATCAAGAGAGTAGCTTCCTCCTCAATCCCAACAGCCCTAGCCTCCTAAATGGAGGCGGATGAAGAAGAGCCCATAGAGTGGGGCGATATGGACCCCTCACTTGCCCGAATGTTGCAAAGCACTCCATCTATGCTTCAAGCGCACAAAGCTCTTCGCACCCCTAAAAAGATGGCTAAGCTAGACACCTCGTTGGGCTCCTTTCAGCCAAGCACCAATGTAATTCTCCCAGAGCCCTCGCCCTCTGTTACCCTCCCCGAATCGGTAACTCTAGACAACATAAAGGAGACCATTCAGAATTATCATGAGACTACTGTCCAGCCCTCTTTTGATATCCTCAACAAGCAGATACGCCAGGAAGTGATCAGTCGCCTTGAAAGGTCTGAACTCAACAATTTCCTAGGCTCCCAGACCCTCAACGCCATCGAGTCAGAGCAACAAAGAAGATCCGTCATCATTTACAATATCCCCCTATTTTCCAATATGTCAAGCATTTCAAAGAACATGTCCTACCTCCTTAAGCAATCGGGTCTCTCCAAAGGCGACGTCCAATCCATTAGTAGCCACCTCCATACGTCGACCTCCGCATTCCTCCGTATCATATTTTTACAAGAAAGCTCCAGTAAGACTTTCCTTCAAGGATTCAAACCAAAACGTAGATATTGGCACTCAGATTCCCAAGAGGATGTACAGCGCAAAATCCAACAGGATATCCCGCTCCAAGAGCGACTAGACAGGGTCCCCTTTATGACCACTATCTATGTACTCAACAAGACTCCGCGTACAGATGCTACTCCCAACCCCTTCTTTGAAAAGTATTTGCCGCCCGAACTCAACTCCCTCCAACTATACGATCAAGAAAACGAAACCCTCCGGGTTGTGTACCTTCCCAGCAAGCATCTGCAGTATCAATGCCAGCTCCTTTTGCATCAAGATGTTTTCAACATAGTAGTGGAATTTTTTCCCTAAATCTTTGGAGATAAGATGAAGCCATTTTTGCTCTTTGTTCAGGGCTATACCCAGTCATCTAGGCACTCCACTACCACCCTTAGGTACCATTACGGATAGTCAACAGACATCTCCAACATCTCTAATTCGGACTCCGTAAAATTTTTCCCCTATGACATCTACCCTATTGAACTTGACTCCACACTGTCCGCCCAGCTCACCGAAAACCCTGCCTTTTAGTTCAGGGATTCTCCGGTGTTCAGCCACTCACTCAACAGGCTATGCAAGATTATAACACGTCTTATGCCGACTTTGGCCATAAGGGCAAAGGCAACAGGGACTCCAAGGGAAAAGATAAAGGAAAAGAAAAAGGAAAGGATAAATCTAGATCAACAAGCTCTAAAGGTTCCAATTCAAAAGGCAAAGGAGAGATCTTTGAAAGGCTCCAACAAGAAGGTAAAGGAAACAAAGATTTCCGCTCCAAGCCCTATCAAAATCGATATCAACAGAATGTAGAAGATTGCTCCCAGCAGCCTGACCCAGCGCTTCGTACGACTGACAGGACTATGACAACTGGGGAGCCGATAACTCCTGGAAAGCTCCATCACACGGATCATCCGGATCCGCCGGACAAGGCAAAGGCAACTACTCCAAGAAGCGTGACTTGGAAGTTGATAATGAATGTCATACTCTCCCATGCTCTGAATGCGTGGCCCTAGCTGGCACGAACTCGTCTTGCAAGGTTTGCATTCATGAGCATTGGCAGCATTATGATTACCTCACCAAATCTTTTCGTGTCCCATTATGCTCCAGAGTGGAGTCAACTGCTCAGGATCAGGCGCCCCCCTCTATGCCCTTACAACAATGTTCTCTACCTAGGTTATGAAAGAGCACTCATTGCCACCCTTGGGGACTCCTCACATGAGCTCCTTGAAGCCCTCAGAGATGCCTGCTATGGAGATGCATATCACAATGCTTCAGAAGATCTCCAATCCTGGTGGGATAAACTAGTCAATCCCCTCGAGCCCGATGATGATCTTCTTTATGAACTTCCCCGATGGACCGACCCAATAAACTACCAATCTCCTTCCTAGACTTCATTTATGATGACCTCTCCATGTTTTACCCAGCTAGGTAATTCTGTGCCCTCATGTAATGTTTAGGGATGTTCTATCTTCCTCACCATTACCCAGGAGGCTCTGTTACCTTAGTAGAAACTGTGATCTCGGAGTACAACCTCCCAAGACCAAGCAGTATCCCTTTTTTGAACCGTACTTACAAGGATTTCACTACCTTGGTTTGGCTCCCTTGGGATCATATGGTCAGGACAAGTTACAGCATGGCATTAGAGTACTTTCGGATCACCCCTGTTTGGGATATTCCAGAGGCCCTCTTGAACAACCTCCTCCCTTCCCAAGATCAAACCTACTTCCAACAGTTTACCGACATGCTCACAGAAGTGATCAATGATCCCCCACTATTCACAGATGTTTTCGGGGGTCTTGCGCCCTTTACCAATGCTCCTTTGCAGCGACTAGCCTCAGCTGGATCCTCCTTCTTTGATCATATTTATGCGCAGCTAGCAACCATACTCCAGATCCAAACCACCG